TCTCAAGATTTATTTCCCCATTCCAGTAGAGTGTAAATATAGTAAGCCAATGACTTTTAGTTGGTATTAAAGCACCGATCATTCCTTTTACCGAAAGAGGATCCAGCTAGTTATTACTATTTGTGAGGCATCGTGGTGGGATCGGGCTCTCGTCAATTTTTGAGCATGTAGAGTTATTGGTGTCATATTAAAGCTTGTTCACTTGTATTTATTGGGATGGAAAAAAATATCCATTTATCTTGAATACAAGTCAAGATATTTGCGAATGAAGGGGGTGGGGGTCACCTGTTTTCAGAAGTAAAAGTAGTGAGAAAATAGCCGCTAAAGATTAGTTATTTCCTTAGCTTAAGAGTCCGTGGTAACTGAAAATTTACATTCTGTGTGCCTTTAATCAACGTTTTTCAGAAATATCCACACAGAAATGAATTCTTTAATGGGCATGAAAGCTGTAGGACCAAAAAACAAAAATTTGATGAAAATTCATAAACTTGCGGAAAAATGCAAGTTTCTTCACTTTGATTATTTTGACGAGAGCCTGATTCCACCACGCTGCCTCACATTTGTGGCATCACGGTGAGATCAGGCGCTGGTCAAAAGATTGAAATCGAAAAAACAGACAGTTTTCCGCTCTTTGGGTTATTTTTTTTTATTGATTTATTTAAAGGGCTCAGTACTGCATATTATGTCTATTTAAATACACAGTTATGTGTAGATTTTACTGGAAACTTTGATAAAAGGTACAACAATGTAAATTTAGAATTTGCAGTTTCCAAGTACACTCAATTTGGCAGCCCTTTTCTCGTTAATTATAGACATACCTCTGGCACAAGACGACGATCCCCACCTTCTTCAATTGCTAGTAGCTCGACATTTATTTTGTTGCTTTTAAGGACAAGCGGGCTAACCCAGATATCCGGGGTTTCCAGAAATCTTGACCTACACCAAAAGTGGGTATTGCCCTACCTACAGGAGAAGTTTGGTTTCATTGGTGTGTATATTTGTTTGGTTATAGAGAAAACTCTCCTTTTCTTTTAAAGAAACTGAACAAGGGTCCATAAACTCTTCCTTCGATTTTCTCAAAACATCATTATTTTTTCGGGATAGCCCCCTTGTGCTTAAAAGCGACCAATTTAAGATAGATGGATGTTGTTTTCATCTCATAGAAGACAAATAGACAGGTTTTGAGGTTATATCAATAACACCATTTGTTCAAAAATAGACGAGCACCTGAATCCACCTTGTGGTCACACATTATATTATTCATGAACATGTTCTCCCGAACGAAAGGGAAACTCCAGATTTTATAGTACCGCTTTGAATTGCTTGGAAGCGGTTTTCATTCGGCTTTTTTAAGTTATTCTATGTCCCTGTTTTGTTTGTGAGTTTGTTTGTTGTTGTT